AGATTGGAGGGGAAAGGGAGGGAATTTCTACCTGGTGGGTCTGGGGTGTCAGAAGGTGGATCGGTTGCCTGATTTTATTCTGATTTATCGCTTAGAATTTATGAATTGTTTCAGGAAAGGGAATTGTGATCACCTAGATTGTTAGAGGAGGGGGAGGAAGTGGATAAGTAATAATTTCCAGACTGTTTTCTTTCGAGTCACTGAGGTTGGTGCTTGAGATAGGGTTGATCCTTATCTGAAATAGTGCGAGTCTGAATAAGAACAGGTTTGGGTAAGAACACAATGTTTTAAATAGGTGGGTCTCGCAACGATAATTTGGATTTGGTATGGTCATAATCCGTAGCGTCTCGCAACGATAATTTGGATTTGGTATGGTCATAATCCGTAGCGTGAGTGGGGACAGTGTGGAAATTATTTCATGCAGGGACTGGTGGTCCGAGTTGTGTTCAAAAGAGGGGAGCTCTAATTGTTGCCTGCTTTAATTGATCAAATATCAATGAAGAGTGTTTGATGGCAATTCAGAGTGATTAAAAATGGTAAACTCGGCTTTGTTATGTTGTCAAAATTGAAAGACGTTGTCACCGGGCGCGATAGTGGAACAGTATAACAGTTGTGCGTTGTTGTTTGATGTAACTGTCGTTTTTTAGTTTGTTGCGTTTATTGAGAGATAGTAGAGATGAGCTCATAATTGTACTCATTGTCAATAATATTTGAGTGGTCTCGTGGTATTCGAAATGAAACGAAGTCAGGCAAAGGATGGGAAGGTGAGATTTTCTCACCTTGAAGAGGACTCAGCTAGCGAGGTTGATGCTTCTCCTGATTATCATTTTGCACCATCGCAAGAGGATTCTGATCGTGGAGATGAAAGTGATGTGGCAACTGCGTAAGTTTCGATCATTTACCTATAATTAAAGGAATTGATGACGACGAATTGATATTGGTTTATGCTGTGTGGTACTTTGATAACAATACGGAAAGTTATTGGGGCATCATACTTTCAAACGGAATATGTGCTCACAGTGGCGCAACCTAGAATTTTTCCAAGGGAGGACCCAGAAATGGTCTCGTTTTAAAACATCTTTGGTATTAGGCGAAAAAAAACGAATATTGGCATGGATCTCTCGCGTTCATCTTTTCTTCATCCTCCCCTACTGTTTTCCTCTTTATTTTCGTCCTTTTCCGTTCTCTTCCACTTTCCATGAGGGGGTTGGCGGACACCATCTAGGATTTTATATCAGTTAATATATATA